AGAGCACCGCACTCCCCTCACCCGCAGTGCAGTGTGCATCAGAGCACCGCACTCCCCTCACCCACAGTAAAACATGCATTAGAGTACATTGGTAGGAGGACAGGCATCTGAAGTATGGATAAACCCAAACCCACAGCACTCAGTGTACCTCAGCCACAGTAAAACATGCATTTTAATACACACCAGTAGGAGGACGGGCATCCTGAAGTCCTGATAGGTCTACTCAGCTAGAGCACCAAATGCACCTCCATCACACTAAACATCATATGAATACACACCAGTAGGAGGACGGGCATCCCGAAGTCCTGACAGATCTGCTCCAGCAGTCCAGCCACGCCTGGGGAGGATGGACATGGCTCCAAAGATGCTAATGTTGTGGTGTTTCCTTTCTCTTTCCCTTTTCCTCAACAGCTGCGGATAACCGTCTGGTCGCTGTGCACAAAATCCGTATCTTACATCAAATATCCAAAAGCTTGTCTGCAGGGTAAGTGATCAGAGTTACTCGAAGGCCATTTCTTTGCAGCTGTTTGCCTTTTTTGTCATGGCAAATTCCAAAGAGGCAGCAGTAGCTCCAATAGCATGCCCATTCACAGCCAACCCTTTCTTCTCTATACCCACCCCATCCCTTGGGTTATTTTAAAGTAGATCTCAGGTCTCCTAATATTTCATCTGTAAATATTTCCATATGTGTCTCAAAAAGGCAAGCGTCCCCTTTTCAAACACGCCCACAGCGACTCGAGAGAATGTGGCGCAAGCACCACGAAGAGTGGCGCTGACGGCGGTCCCTGGTGGCAGGGCCGAGCGTGCAGACCCCTTCCAGCCAATGCCTGTTGAGAGGCCCACCTCAGGCATCCACTTCTGAGCTTCCTCTCTGTGAAAGGGGGAGGTCTTACCTGTCATCTCTGGGCATCCCGGAGGGATATGTGACAAGTGTCCCTTCCTTGTGGAAGCCTGTGAGCCATGTGGAAGAACGAGGGCCTGCGCAGGGTGGCCCACTGCCAGCGCATCTAGCTGGACAGCTCAGAGCTTGCGGGAGGCGCCATTCCTGCGCCCTGACCCGGATGGAAGTGCCACACAGTTGGAATGATGCTTTCATTTCTCTCTGTTGCTGCCAGTGGTTTGGAAATTGCATTTGAATGAAATGCAGTCGTACTCTGATCATTTGAATATGAGTCTCTCCAGATGAGATGCACATTTCCCGAGTAGATGCCAACATTTCGTCATTTGAGGTATTCTCTTCACGCATGAACAATGAATCCTGGCCAGAGCTTTTAAAGCTAATACAGAACTAGAAAATACAGTGTAACATTTTCAGCTAAAGCTTTTCCACATTTTTATCTTATTATTTGTTTATTCTTTTGAGATAGGGTCTTGCTCTGTCACCCGTGCTGGAGTTCTGTGACACGATCACAGCTCGCTGCAGCCTCGAGCTCCTGGGCTTGTGATCCTCCCACCTCAGCCTCCTGAGTACCTGGGACTACAGGCACACATCACCATGCCCTGCTAATTTTTTGCAGCGATGGGGTTTTGCCAAGTTGCCCTGCCTCCTCTCCAACTCCTGGCTCAAGCAAGCCACCTGCTTCAGTCTCCCAAAGTGCTGGGACCACAGGCGTAAGCCACATGCCCGGCCACACATTTCAGTAAGCCACATGCCCGGCCACACATTTCAGTAAGCCACATGCCCGGCC